GCTGAAAGAGGTGTGAAGAATTTTTTTACAGGACTGAATTTGACTGGGAAGATGTACTTGCCACTCTCCAGCAGAGCTGTGAGATCATGCAGCCACTGCAGGAGGTCAAGAAACCAAATTCTTGCTCCTCAACTGTTGTTTCTAGCAAACAGGTTTTATGAGTAATTGTAGGGGGGGTTTTTGAAGGGGATGAAGGTGGTGTTTAAGCTGCCAGGAATTTACCTCAGCCTCAAGTGAAGTCATGGCCACTGTCAAAGCCATGGCCATGTTTGCGTAGATAAACCCAGAGTTATGACTTCATCTCACCCAGGGGTGTCTGTCAGAGATTCCTGTGTGCTGTGTGCCTGTGCTTTCTCAGTTTAAGAGTTATGTGACTTCTGAATGGAGTTATAATAACCAGGGACCTATTCCAGACCTTGAACAAAGCTTGCAACTGCTTACAAAAGGAATGAAATCTCAAATATTCCTGTCAACAGCTGGACCTCTACTTTCCTTACAGGGAGACAACTTTTAATTATAAACAGAAAATTTTTATGCTTATTTGACAGATAACCAATTCTATAAACTCACTGGTTTTAATCATAAAGAGAAAGCATTCCTTAAAAACAAACTTTAAATGTCTGCTCAGGAAAAACTGTGTTTATATGGGACAGTTAGCACTGTAATAATGCATCACCAGCACCTGCAGTATAACTAAAGCAACACACTGGCACATAATTAACAACTTTCCTCCAATGAACCATGAGCAGCACTGTATTTTGGAATCTTTATATTCTAGGAATTAAGGGCAGGGTGCAGAGCAGCAGAACTCAGATTAATGACAACCATAGCTGGGAAAAGGCACAGTAAACAGAGCTGTGAGCAAACACTGTAGACTGAAGTAGGAAGAGCAAAGCACTCCTACACACACACCACTTTGCAAACAGCTGCTGGTTCATGCCACAATAGATAATAGTTCATCCTGAGGCTGTTTTGGTGAAAAGGTGCTTCCAAGTTCTTACATAATAATACTGAATCCTCAATAGTAAGCAAGTTTCCATTTAGATAACTGGGGTGTTTCCTAGGTGTGGTGGGAGAGGGTTTGTTGGGACTTTTACCTTCTACTTAGAGTTCCAAAATTGTATCCAGTTAGTGTGCTACTTACAACACAGAACTATGATTCCTTAATGTTTTTGTCAGGGGGGAAAAATGTACAGAAAACGTATCAGTCACATGCTGACAGACAAAAGGTATGAGTTGGGACTACAGTGTGTATTTAAAAACACTAAAACTCTCTCACACACTAGTCTAATATATATCACTTAAAAAGGATCTCTGAAAAGAAGTATTCAGTATTTCAAGCTCACATTCTTACCAGTACAGCATTTAATCTTCTAAGTGTGTATTTATTATACTTTCCTTCTTTGGAGGGTTGATTGTACATCTTAAAGAAGCTTCTACCAATCCTTGAGTGTTTTGCAGTAAATCTCATTTGTGTGGGGAGGGCAGAAGAGCCTGAGCAGTTTCTGAGGTGGCTGAGACCTCTAGTGCCCAGTCCTTTCATTGCATGGCTGATGCTTTTCTCCTGTTCTCCCGCACTCAAAACAAGAAGAAGAAATTGCTCATGTTCCTAATGAAGTGGTAACTATTGAATTGATTGGATAACTCATCCCTTTCAGTTTCTGCCTGTTCATGTTCCTACTGAGGAAGAAAAGAGTGATCCAATTCTTTTTGCCAACAGAGTCCGACAAACCATGGCAAAGTAAGTAACTGATCATCAGTAAAACCTCTGGGAACTGTTCTTTTATATCCAGCAATTCTATATACAGCCTAACCGTAAAGTACAATTTAATCAAGTTCTGGGTATTACACATAGGAATTGCTCTAGATTTCCACTAAGAGGTGTCAAAATCCTATACTAAATTACCCCGATTGTTTTTACATGGAACACAAAAAATATATACATTAGAACATAGTATGTTCAATTCATAGAAAACTGGAATAAAATGATCTCTCCTTGCTTGGAAAGGACAAGTGGGTAGTGGTTTGTTCTCCAGCATTACTGGGCTGCATTTGCAAGACTGTAAATCTTAAAAGCTCATGGTGCTGCCATAAAGTAGTTTCACGGTGTGGTTTCACAGTTTCATGAAATGGTGTATATTGCTTTGGCCTACTTGCAGCAGTGCAAGAGTGAATTAACATTTGTTTTGCATATCAGAGAAGGGGAACTGCCTACAATAAGTTACTTTCATATATAAGAAATTGATCTTGATTTTCCTCAATTTTATTTCAGTGCTTTGAATTTGCCAATCACTGATCACACTTTTGAAGATTGCAGACTGATGATTTCAGCAGGACAGTTGACTTTACCCATGGAAGCTGGGCTGGTGGAGTTCACCAAAATTAGCAAGAAACTCAAGTAAGGGAAGTTTTATTGTTTGGTAGCATAAATACTAAAGTGCTGCAGGTGTTGATGGCCATCTGCCAAAGGTTAAATAACCAGACTACAGACTTGGCCATGTGTAACATAGTGTATTTAAGCATACAACTTACATAAACTACAAGGAAATCAGAGATGAGGAAAATCCCAGTAAGGACTAATCCCAAGTAATTTTTGTTACCAGTGTTGCCAGAGAAAAGATTGTTCTCACCAAAGGGTGAGTAAAGCAGAGCAGTACCTATCTGAAGCCCTCAATAGTAATCTTGGTGGAAATTTAAATTGCTTTAGTGGTGAGGCACTGACAGCTTGTGGCAGGAAGTAAAAAGCCTTCTTTCCAGCCTGAAACTTCAGCTTACTGTTCTTAGTTTTACTGTGCAGCCATGTGTCACTAGTGATGTCAGTTTTTTCTGTCTGGATACGGTGGAATTTGAGGACTGAGCCATGTAACCATACTCCATCAAATAACCTGGCATGGCTGTGGTGAAATCTGAGTGTGTCCAATAAATCTTGACTTATTATTAAGTGCTATATATCAATTTATAGAATTCTATCTGGAATAGTTACATGGCAATCCTAATTATTCTTACCGAGGTGCAGTGGTGTTTTTTGCAGAGATCTGACAGTTTTGAGGCTCTAGCAATACTGCTGTTTGGGTAGAGAGCTTGCTAATAGAGCTGAGACCTGCTCCCTCTGTCAAGGAAATACTTACCCTAGAGCATGATGCAGAAAAATACTATTAGACCTGAAAATATGGTAATGAAAAGCTCTCTGCTGGAGCAGCCTAGTAATTGAACAGACAATTCTAGGTTTGGGAAGTTATTTTGTAGAAGTCAGATGTACCCAAGCATAGAACTGACTGCTTTTTATATTAATAACCAGACGGGAGCAGTCCTTAATTACTGATTTAAAGTAAAATATCTGGTCTGAAGTACAGCATTAGAAATGCTGTACACACATGCCCTGTTAGGCAGTTTTTCATCTTTGAACACTGTAATAACTCCTGCTGAAATTCCATCTGTCCGAGAACTGCTGTATAGAAATATCTCCTCTCTCTCGTGTTTCCATAGCCTAAAATGGAATCATGTCAGAGAGCAGCTGGATACTTTTGCTGCTATTGCAAGTGCTTCCAAAGGGGGAAGAATTGGAATTGAGGAGTTTGCTGAGTACTTGAAGCTGCCTATTTCAGATGTCCTCAAAGAGCTGTTTCTACTTTTTGACAGGGTGAGTAATTGGTTAACTGACTTGTTGACAATATTTTGTTAGACATCACGTACCAAAACTATATTTATTATAATTCATTATGTCCAGCTTAGTAAATGCTTCTTGGTTAACAGTTTCTGTAAGCAAGGTAGGTGACTTATGGTTTTTTTCATAAGTTTCAGTGGAGAAAATATTCATTATTTTCTGCCTTGTGAGATGGCAGCCATCTGGCAGTATCAGACAATCTTCATGCTGGTAATAGCTGAATATTTTCCTTGGCCAACTGCAGATTTTGATCTTATGTACATTTTGATAGCTTAGTTAGCTGTTGTAATTAATTAGATAATTTAAGGCAGAGTGAAGCTAACTGGAGTGTTCCTGCTGTGCTTGTGAATGCTGCTGTTAGACTGTACAGGGACTCCTCTTGCTTCTCTCCATCAGTAAAGGGAGTTGTGTGTTAACATGATCATTTAGGCTTTACCCCTAGTCAGTGCTAATCTCTCCAATTTTCTTCTTCTTTCTGAGGATGACAAAAATGGCTCCATTTCTCTCTATACCAGAAGCATCAATGACTAGAGCAGAGATAGATTAATCTTAATTCTAGTCCTCAACTTGTGCTGCAGTGCACACAGCCTGTTGTCCTGCAGGTGCCTGTGGACTGGAGGTTTTCTGTTACCATCAAAGCTTTCCCAGCTCACCATCACTCTTGCTGATCAGTTAGCCTTAGCAGTACACCTGTCCTTGGGAGGCCATGGTATTTGCCCATTAAAACTCTTTCAGGATCTTTCCACATAAAAACTTGTACAAGCTCTAAAATAGGAAAGAGTGAAATGTATTTCTTGAACTGCTGAATGCCTTGAAGCTCCTAGGTACTCATTCTTTTGTCATTCCTGCTTCCCCATCTTGGACCATTGGCTCCTGAGGCATGTGGTCTGAGTCCTGATGCACAGTACCTACATCAGAAATGTGCAGTGGCAACCAGAGTAATTAAGGGCATCATACTCCTTTCACTTTCTGTATATGGTGCAACATCAATGACTAGAACTAGTAAAGTAATGCTCAATTCACTAAAATTTTGAGGGACTAAAAGATTGTGAAAACAAAGAAGTGCAAGGCTGCATTCGCCTTTAAGGAGATCAGCACAACTGGGGAACAGTCAGGCTCATCTAACAGGGCTGGTTTCAAATTGCTTCAGGTATGAGCACAAGCATTTGGAGTCTTCTGCTTTGTGGGTTTCAACCTCATTATGTTTTTTTCTCTAAAATCGTTCCTTCCTCAAATCACATAAACATAACAATGCAAAGAAGAAAAGAAATAGGGGCGTATCTACACCTGACAGAAACTAATGAGGCGTAACTGGCAGCCAGAAACATGCACAGACATGGTGAAGTCTAAGCATGCAGATAAGCTGTGTTTTACCCACGCCCAAGTCAGACACAAAACAGCTTCAGAGAGCTACAGAACACTGGATCTCCGAGTAACTCACTTCAGAAAATCTTCACGATGTTCCTTGCTAAAGCTTTGCTGAGTGGAGGAAGTGGAGGAAGTGGTAGCAGTCGTGGAGGAAACCTTGTACGTGGCCTTGGAGGGCTCCTGACAGGAGGTGGAGGTGCAGGGAATATTGGAGGACTTGTTGGAAGTCTCGTCAACCTTATAAGTGAAGCAGCAGCTCAGTATAATCCAGAGCCACCTCCACCTCCTCGCAGTCATTTTACAAATGTGGAAGCTCAGGAGAGTGATGAGATCAGACAATTTCGTCGCCTGTTTGCCCAGCTGGCTGGAGATGATATGGAAGTGTGTGCCACCGAGCTAAGGGACATCCTGAACAAAGTCCTCTCCAGACACCAAGACCTGAGGGCGGATGGCTTCAGCCTGGACACCTGCCGCAGCATGGTCGCCGTCATGGACAGCGACGCGAGCGGGAAGCTGGGCTTTGAGGAGTTCAAGTACCTGTGGAACAACGTCAAGAAGTGGCAAGGTGTGTACAAGCAGTATGACACTGATCAGTCAGGCACTGTTGGGAGAGCCCAGCTGCCCAGCGCCTTGAGGGCTGCGGGGTTCCAGCTGAACGAGCAGCTGTGCCAGGTGATCGTGCGCAGGTACGGCGCCGAGGACGGCAGCATGGACTTCAACAGCTTCATCAGCTGCCTGGTGCGCCTGGACAGCATGTTCAGGGCCTTCAAGTCCCTGGACCAGGATGGAAGTGGCCACATCAGAGTGACCATTGAAGACTGGCTGCAGATGACCATGTATTCCTGAAGGCGTGCAAAGAAGAGGCTTCGTGTGGAAGATACGCCTGGACGACTACACTGCTCTGCTACACTGCTCTGGTCTTTGCCTGTAGTCTGTAACAGTGGATGGCTCAGCTTAGAGTGTAGTGATTCCTTTTGTGCTTGCAGTAGTCTGCTTCTCTGAGGGGTTTCTGTAGGTTGTTGATTGGGCAGTTGCATAAGTTAATAAAATTCTAAACTCTAAGGTTAGGGAATATATTGGAAGGATCGAAGCTTAGTTACTGTTTCATGTAAAGTAGCTTGTATACTAGTATAGCTATTTTGTTAAAAAGCTCCTAAGTTTGGTGTTGATGTTGATGTTGCTGTTCTGATTTGTCAGCAGTCACTAAGCTGGAATAAAGGCTGTTTGCCTGAAGGCAGTCACTGGTAGAGTCTTGTGCAGTTATTTCTAACAAGGGGAACAACATTAGAGTTGCAATAACTGTAATGATCAGTGAACTTACATAATCATTCAATTTCCTTTCTACTTCTGCTTTTTCATGCTTGGCTGCTGAAGCAAAGCCTCAGTTTTACTGCCAGTTCTATCTGGTGGCCAGGACAAAATTGAAGACTTGTATGAGGCTACTTCTGCAATGATCTCCTTCCTACAGTTCCATGAACTAGTCTTTTCTCTCCTTCCTTCAAGCCTAAACATAGTTATAAAGCAAACAACTTAAAATACTACATTTATATTTAGAGAAACTTGAAATAATTATGCAGTCACATAGCAGAGAGAGAGCCAAAGTCAACCTTTGGCTATCTGAGTGAAATTTTATCAGAGTGCAGCATCCCACTCAAGGTAGTTATGCAGTTCTGGCTAAGATGTCAACTTCTGAGTAAAAAAATAAAAGGAATAACATGAACTGTCAAAAGTGCATTTCTTTGAATTAAGGATTACATTGTTGATCAAAGCTCTTGCACAAGGCAGATTTCTTGGCAAGGCTCTGCTGCTTTAAACGAAAATTGTCTTGGGTGTGTGTGAGCTGGCTGGAATGTGAAAGGAGGAGTTAAATCGGCAGCCTGGCACTAGAGGCAGTATCCAGATGTGAGAGAGAGAGGGGCAGCCTGGCACTAGAGGCAGTATCCAGATGTGAGAGAGAGCCTCTCTCGAATGTCCCTGCCCTTCCCCAGGGACACAGCAGTGATTCATTGAGAAATACCACACAGTACCTGCAGGCTATCTGCATATTAATGGGATGCTATGGTTTGGTTTGATTTGGTCTGTTAATTTCCATAGGTTTGATTTCTAAATCTTGCACTTAGCAAATAGTGTTTTTCAAATTGATGAGGTATCCTCCCTGGTAAACTTGCAGAAACCTTTTACTTGAAACTAACTTAAAATTTGTGCCCAGATTTTTTTCCTCCTGCGCTTTGTCTAATAGCAAACAGAAAAATATTCATACTATCCCAGAGAAAGGAGGCCAGTTCCTTCCTAATGGCATTCAGCCTCCTCCCAGGTCTTCAGTGGAAAAGCACTCAGTTATCCATTGTGCCATGTAGTGCCATTTGGGCTCTGAGTAATAGAAAAGTGAAGAGGAGGTAAAGTGTGATATCCTCCTCTAAAGTATTGGTGCAGTAATACTTTATACTGCATCTGGCTTGCAGTCCATGTGCAAATCTAAATATACTTATGACAGTGCAACTTTCTTGTTTTCCAAAGTCTAAGATTTACTGGATTATATAAAAAAACCAACAACAAAACCCCAGTTACCACAGCATGCTATAGAGAAAATAGTAGCAAAAAATTGGCTTCCTTAAAGAAAACAAGAGTTCTTAATTATGTTTTGATTGCTTTGTGTAGCATAACTACAAATACCCACGTTCTGATGTTCTACTTTACCATGTAGAGAACTGAAGCTTAGCTCACACATTGCTTCCTTAAAATATTCTTGGGTGCATAGGCTGCAAACACAGTTAAATATGCATAGAAAGACAATTGCAGTGATGTTACACAAGCACCTAAAGTTTTCCTGTATTTTCAGTTTAACTTCCATTTCTTTTCCCAGGCAGCAACCCCATAATTTCTCCTTAACCAGAATGCCAGAGCATTTGGAAGTTAGCCAGCATCCTAGAGTTTAGTAGAACTAGTTGCAACATGATCTTGCAAGCATAGTAACTTTATTTCCTACTAAAATGGCTGGAGTTCTGTCTATCAGACTGCACTCAGTTTTGATTACTGAGTTTTCACATTCTAATGAAAGTAATGTAACTTTTTTTTGTCTTTTTTCTTGTCATATTTCCATGTGCAGCCACAACTGTGTTAACTTCTTTCAGAAGTTGTTCGTAATTAAATTATTTTAAATTATTTTACTTCCCAGTTCTTTTACTGTGATGCATATTCTTAGCTTTGAAAATAAATTTTAAAAATATTCTAATCCCATCAAACAATCCTTTGCTAAGAATACAGTCTGCAAAACTGTCCAAAAATAATATTCTATGGAGCTTTGAACAGTTATTATCTGCACTGTCGCTTCAGTTGTTTTAAGACTTTATGTTTGTAATGTTACACTTTAAATTTAGATCTCTTACCTCTGAGAACCACAGTGTGAAGAAAATACTGAAAGTCAAACTCTGCACCACAATGAGAGCACAGATTTGTAAATAAAACAACGTGTATGGGACAGCATTGTCCTTTTCTAATGATTAAAAACTGTCAAAGTTATAACCCTTAGACACCCATGAAAGTAACTTGAAAGTTCATATCCTTCTCATATCTTTGCTCAAAAGTTTACCTGAAAGTCACAGGTTTATGAAGTACAAGATGTTCAAAATCAATCAAAAGATCAATCAAAAAGATTGGTTAGACCATCAATATAAAGAAAATAGCAGTTATCTATGCAAAAGAGTCCTGCATTGGTTTTGAAGGCTCAATAAAATTATATCTTAGGGGTTTTAAAATTTGTGAAATAGCTTGATGATGACAGGTTAGTAATACTGATTTCATTATATTATTACACATATTTTGTTAGTCAAGAACTATCTGAAAATCTAAATTCAATTACTAAAATCCCTCTTTCATAGCACCAAAAATTTTCAAAGCAGTCTACAGGGCAGCCTTAGCTCCCCTGGCATAATGTACTGTTCAGCAGCAGAAAACCAAGAGTAGAAAGGTTTAAGGTTGGTATTAATGTCCACTCAAGTGGACATTAGAAGCTGGTAGGAGAGCCAGAAATAGAATCCTGGTCTGGCTCTTTGCTGCAGATTTACCCAGCTGACCACCCCTCACTCACTTGGCTGGAAAAGTTTTGTGTTGTTCTCATACATAGGGATTCCGCTTCTTAAGAAAATGTTTCTCTTGTTGAAATGCAAAACATATTATCCACAAAGGGAACTCTGCTTTACACTTCAGTTTGCTTTCAAAACATTTTTGATGAATGCCCTTATTGTGAATATTCAAAACAATGTCTACTTGTCAACTCTATTATGCTGTCATTACCTGCTCTGTGTCCCACCATGTAAGTTTTGCAGGTGGCTTTTGCCCAGACAGATGTTTCCCAAAACACTCAAGAAACTTCCGGTGTGGTGACAGAAACACCACTGACATAAGCATAGATTTCATCAGGCATCTGTCATTCTCCTTAATGTAGTGCAGCTTACACAGAATTAATCACAAATCCCATCAAAGCAAGCTTCAAATGTTTTGTTGATGTAACTTTGTAGTTAACACATTGAAATGTTTGTTCAGATCAAAACTGGAATTATTACAGAGGCTGTTTCAATTAATTCCTTGCCTTTCTGGCTTAAAAGGTAGGACAGTGCATTGGCTTCCAAATAGCATGTAGGGCAGTGCATAGGCTTCAGAGGAAAGCTTAAGATGAACCAGGTAGATGTGGTTGTCCTTTCACTGACATATATTTTATTGCTGAAGGTTCAAACTCAAAACAACGTCCTCACTCTCATCCTGTTGATTCTGCTTTGTCTTTCATTGGTCTCTGAATTTCAGCAAGTGCCAGCGCTGCATGCTCTGCTACAGTTACCTCAAACATGTGGATTCCAGTTATTTTTAGAGCCTTCCTGAAGGCCATGTATTAAAGAAAAAAACTTTAGTTTGTTTTAAATCTTTGTGTTTTGTTTGTTCATAAAATAGAAATCCATACCCAGATTGTAGCTATTGAAAGCATGTATGTTGCTACTCCAGCCTCAGTATGGCAGATCTAGTGAGCTCTTAGGTTTTTTTCCCGGGAAGAACAAAAACCTCCCTCGAGTACTGTAAAGTGTCTTAGTGCATGTGTTGTGTTTGATTCCCAGAAGAGCTTTTAAAGTGATTTGCAGTATTAACTCTAACTGCTGCCATGCATGTTTGGGTTACAGAATGGAGATGGCACCATTGACTTCAGAGAGTATGTAATTGGTCTGTCTATCCTTTGTAACCCAGCCAACACAGAGGAGACTATTCGGATGGCATTTGAGGTAAGTTCAATTTAGTGTAAATCTACAAACCTGACAAATCAACACTGACTGTAAGTCTGTTAGCTTTCAAATCATAAGTTTATTGCTTCAATCTGTTATGCAAATGTGAGTAATTCTCTTAAATCAATTGACATTTAGAGTGTGAAAGGGAGGGGAAGAATTGCAGGCATCATAGAGAAGAGTTTCAAAAGCCATCTAAAGGCACTAATGAATATGTAACTTGGCAGGCTAACTCCAAAAATGATTCAGCAGCACTTGTAGTTTTTTTTGCCTGAGGTTTTTTCTGCTGTGATTCTTCAATGTCACAATAGATGGAGTAATATCCTCTTGTGGGTCAAGCTTCACTAGAGTCATTGTTCTTAACAAAGAGGAGGAATAAAAAAATCCAGGGCTGTTCAGGACTGGCACATTGAAAACTGGGCTGCATCTAAGAGCTGCTAGCTTGTCCTCTGGTGCCCTGATAGTACAAGCAGTAAAGGAGCAGTAGCTCCTTTCACATCTCAGGTACATGCAGACAATACATGACCAGGCATGCCCATGTTGTGAATCCTTGGCTCTTTTTTTAGTAGCTCTTTGACA